GAGTGTGCAGCATGACAGAGGAGCTGACAGAGAGCAGAGCTATGACACCATCCATCTATCTAGCCATCCATCCATCCATCCATCCACCCATCCATCCGTCCGTCCGTCCGTCCGCCCATCCATCCATCCATCCATCCATCCATAAATATTTAACTCAATCAATATATTTTCCCCATAAAAATACATTCAGCTCTCTTCAATCCCTTCAAAACGTTTTTTTAATAACAAAGTCCATGCTCAATAATCCAGGTATACAATCCAACATTTTTCAGTCAGGTCATCTGGACAGTTTCTTTTTTTTTTGTGTGTGTTGAAACGTTTCGCCTTCGGTCCGGAAGGCTTCATCAGTCAAGGAAACGCACAACAAAACTGATTCTTCCCCCGACTGCTTACTCCAAAGTGGAACAAACCAGTTCTGCTTGTGATAAGATGGTCTCTTTGGTACGCCCTCTCCTCCATTGCCGGCCCTCTTCCTTGTTGACAGTCTTGTCAAACTGTTTTTTTAAAATAATTTTCCTCAGTATACATGGTCTATTTTTGTCTTCTTATACTATTTATAGCTTTTATCTACTGTTTCCCCACTTCAGACTCGTCATTTGATATTTTTTAACAAACCGCTTGCTATATTTAGTTGTTTTTAACTAGTCTTATACTCCATTTAGTGATTGGCTGGTATAGAAGCTAGCATGTTGCTCCTTTAGTGTTTTTAGCTCATAAAAATGTTGTTTAGTTTGTAAACTTTACAAATACTTCTTAATACAGAATGTGACCACAGTCACTGTGTGACTGAACTTGTTTACCTCCTTGAATATCTCTTTTGAAAGCTGGACTCTTGGACATCTTTTTCTTCACTCTGGGCTTTAAGTTGGAGGGGGTTTCTGCTGGGGAGGAGCAGATGTGCCCTGCATGAGAAAACATAATGAACAATTTAAAAACGGTTCCATGTCTGTAAGATTCACAGTCTTTTGGTTGCTGTGTTAGCATAAACACACGAGAACAGGTGAGTTTACCAGGTGTTGTTGCACAGTCTTCATGGAGAGCTGCGCCCTGGCTGTGGGGGCAGTAACCGGCAGGACTCTGGCTGTGGGGGCTCTGGCTCTGCACTGTTCCAACCTCTGATGAGCAGGGTTGCTGCTGCCCAAAGAGGCTGGTGTTGGACTGGGTGAACGGTGAGCATGGCGCTTGTGGCGCTGGCACTGGACTGCAAGGCAACTTTCTGTTATGGGATGTAAAATGACAGTTTACAGGCTGGATGTAGCTAAATGTTGAGGAAAAACATTTATTTCATATAAAGTATGTAACTGTATTGAAGTCTGGTTTCTTCTTATTTGATTTCAAATATAAATCAGATTATTGTTATAAGTCTTGTTTTCCTATTTATAGTTTCTACCAAAGTCACGCTGCATCCACATGCTTGGTGTCGTTTTAACCCATTTATTAAACCTAACACTCAGTTTCACTGGGAATTGTGTGCTATGATGTTTGACTTTTTGTAACTTTTGTACTTTTCAAAATACTTCACTTTATTTAAAATGTAATAACCTATGTAAAAAAAATTATGACAACTTTATATTTTTCAGCTCCTTTTAGCTTTGAGCTCATTTTTGCTCATTTTAACCAGCTTAGCTGTTCTATTTTGTATAGGCTTCGCCCTTTAAGGCTGTTGCTGGTGGGTTTCATCCCGTCACGTGAAGTGTAGCACTGAAAACTTTAGTCCACGCCCACCTGTTGTGTGGGCCTCACCCGTTCCATATAAATTACGTTGAGAGCAGGTAATCGGCTCCCATTTTTCTTCAGCAAGCAACCAGGACTGATTTTCAAAAACAAGAACGCGATGTCCAACACCAGCACCATCCGCCTGTGCCCGTCCTGCAAGACCGGCTACATGCTGAGCTGGGTCCCCGCCACGCCGACCTCGCCTCCTCCTGCCGTCTCTGTGACCTCCTCCCTCCTGAGGAGAGGCAGAGGGGAGCAGCCTTGTTCAAGGCTAACATCGAGGAGCGCCTTTCCGTGTCGGGGACTGTTCGCTGGACAACGCCATTGCCTTTTTTGACGCCGAGTCACGAAGCGAAGCGGATGATTCCTCCAGGAAAGGCGACGTCAGCAACAGCCCCACTTCTCATTCCCTCCCAGAGAGAGTAGTGTTGGAACGGGGGGGGGGGGGGAAGGGGGTTCCCCCCCCCCCCCCCCGGGCCTTTCCGCATCAGCGAACACACCGCTCCCAGCCGTCGGTGCCCTTTTCTCAGAGCTGCCCGGCATAATCCAGGAGGCGGCTGACACAAAGGGACTTCCCGTCCCTCTCCTCCCCCCGCCCAGATCAGATGATCTAGCGGGAAGGTTTGGCTCCATCCCGGCTCACCACCCTGACCCCATCTGGCCTCGTTTCCCAGCAGTGACGTCCTACTGGAACGAGGCTGCAGCCAGACATGGTAGGCTGAAGGCGCCCGTCTCTACCTTCGCTCCCATCCCCAGAGTGGAGGGGCTTACTGAACAGAATTTTCCATCGGTACCCCCCACCCCCACTGGAGCCAAGCCTGGCGGAAGCACTCAGGGCAAAAGTGTCCTGTCCCTCCAGGGAGACATGACCAGATGGTGACGTCGCTTTCAAACCGAGCCCACCAGTGTGCGTTCCAGGCGGCCACAGCGAACAACAATGTCGCCCTGCTGGCGTACAGCATCTCCAAAAGGCTGGAGGACACAGACCTGCCTGAGGAGATGAGGAGCTCGCTCTGCAAAGCGTCTGATGTCATCCTCAACCTGTGCGCCTCCTCTGCTGTCTGCCTGTCTCGCATCGCCGCCTGGATGACAATGATCCAGAGGTCCACCTGGCTCTGACACTCCCCCTCCTTACCGGAGAAACGGCAAAAAGACCTGCTGGAGGGCCCCATCTCGATGGACGTGCTGTTCGGGCCAATTTCAAGGCCATGCTTGAAAAATCGAAGAAGTCGGAGGAGGTGTCGGAGACTGTGCGTCACCTGATGAAGCCGCACCCCTCCTCTCGACCCCCCACACACTGGAGAGATCATCATGGCTAGAGGCAGCAGCAGAGACATTCCACAGCTGCAGCAGCGTCCTCACGCCCCGCTCCGCCGCCGGCCCCTCCCGCCAGAGAACAGTCCTTCTCATCGTGACAACCAGCAACTCAGCGTTTCCCCAGAGACCGCCAACAGGCGCCGCCCTGGAACAATCAGTCGCAGGGCTCACGGGGGAGAAGATGTACGAAATGAGTCCTTTGCGGAGGATGTGTGTGTGTAATGATGATATAAGTTTTAAAATAAAACGAAAACATCATTCAGAGAATAAAGTGTCTGATTTCAGCCTGACTGTCAGATCGAATGATCTCACAGCGGCTTCTCTTCACACATCCTCCACAAAAAACAAGCTGGTAACCTCAAAACAGGTTTTAAAAAGTCACCGCAGCTCGAGAAACCACACAAAATGCTTGCTTGACACAGCAGCTAAAAATGATTCTTCTCAGCAGACCGAGTACAGAAGAAAACCTCGCTCTCAGCCCAGGTTGTGTTCTGATTTTTCTGACCACAGCGGGAACAAACGTGTTTCCCCACGATAGCTGCAGTCTCCACCCAAACAGTGCCACATTTCTAAAGGCGCTCATGCCTCTCCTCAGTGTGCGTCAGCTCACATCAACTCTGATGTGAGCCCGTAGCCTGAGCGCAGCACAGAGGCGTTCCCAGAGCCCTTTCGGCGAGGCACCCGCATGGGTCGCTCGGAGAGCATCTCCAGAGCATATGACGGCGGTGGGGGCTTTGACTTGGCTGACGTCCATAACAGACATGACAAAAACGCGTGCCCGCTCCCCGAGCATTACGCAGAGTGGCAGCGAGTGCGCTCCCTGGACAGATGGATGGACCGTCTGATCAGCAGTGGTTACATGCTGCAGTTCGCAGCTCAACCCCCACCGTTCAGAGGGATTATAGAGAAGGTTCTGTCATCTCCAGAACATATCTCGTCTCTCCACGCAGAAGTTCAGGAATTACTGATTAAAAATGTAATTTCCAGGGTTCCCAACGGAGAGGAAAACACAGGGTTTTACTCACGTTACTTCCTGGTTCTGAAAAGGACCGGAGGAATGAGACCCATTTTGGACTTATCCGTATTCAACAAGTCGATCATGGAGAGACAGTTCCACATGCTGACAACCAGACAGCTGTTAGACAACATTCACCAGAATGGCTGGTTTACCTCCATAGATCTAAAAGACGCCTATTTTCACATTCCAATCATTCCAAAACACAGAAAGTTCCTGTGACCCAGTACCAGTACAACAGGCTTCCGTTCGGCTATTCCCTTGCACCACATACGTTTTCGAAATGCGTGGAGACGGCTCTGCAGCTGCTGCACAGAGCAGGGATGAGAATCTTATTTTACCTGGACGATCTGCTGCTGCTGACCCAATCCAGGCAGGAAGCAGCTGTGCAAACCAAAGCGCTGACGTCACACCTGTTAAACCTGGGTTTCGCCATAAACTGGGAGAAGAGTTCGGTTCTCCCGGCCGAGATGATTGTTTATCTGGGAGTGGAGCTAAACTCAGTCACTATGAGGCCCGTTTATCACAGACAAGAGCTAAAGCTCTGAAAGACCAGCTCCGACGCGTAAAACCCAGCAGAGTAGTAACGGCTGTCTCCATCGTGAAATGGTTGGGAACGATGTCGTCAGCTCACGCTGTGGTTCCGCTGGGCTTACTCCACATGAGACGTCTTCAGAGGTGGTTTACTCGCCTGCGTATAGATCCAGGTACGTCAGAAGAAGTGGATGATCTCTGTGCCCCCCTCTGTGGGAACCGACCTGACTGGGGAAACCCTCTCACTCTGTAGGAGGGAGTTCCTATCAGCAGACCTACATCACACATCTCAGTTTTCACAGACGCGTCCCTGTCAGGCTGGGGAGGAACGTGCCTGTCTCAGGCGGTGGGGGGCAATGTGACCACCTCACACATCAGCTCATATAAACGTTTTGGAATGTCTCACAGTTTTGAATGTGATTCAGCATTTTGCTCCCCCTGTTACGGCATCAACATGTTCTGATCCACACAGACAACAAAGTGACTGCAGCTTACATAAACCGGCAGGGGGGCGTGCGCTCAGCCCAACAGTTACGCATTGCGAGGCAGCTGCTGTGTTGGGCACACAAAAACCTGCTCTCCATCAGAGCAGTGTACATCCCCGGCATCCTGAACAGAGGCGCGGACATAATGTCCAGGGGCGGTCCACGCCACGGGGACTGGAGTCTCCATCCCGAGCTGATTTCTCAGATTTGGAACAGGTTTGGCAGAGCAGCAGTGGATCTGTTTGCCACATGGGAGAACGCCCAGTGTCAACTATGGTTCTCACTGAGCCCACGGGATGACCCACTGTTAGGAGTGGACGCTTTTGCCCACAGCCCATGGCCCAAAATGCTCCTTTACGCATTTTCTCCAGTCCCTCTAATATCACGGTTTCTGAACCGAGTCCGGGAGGAAGAACTCAGCCATTCTGGTAGTTCCCGAGCACAAGAGCGACCCGTGGTTCCCAAACCTGCGACGTCTGTTATCGGGTCGACCGTGGAAACTGCCATGGAGGGACGATGCTCTCCTCCAGGCAGGAGCGATCAGGAGTCACCCAGAAATAGGCCAGCAGCTTTGGATCTGGCCGCTGAGCGGGCCTCTCTCAGGAAGTGGTGCGCACAATCCAAGACTCGCGTGCTGCTTCCACCACAGCGCTGTACACACGAAAGTGGACAGCTTTTCAGCGCTAGTGCATGGAGAAAGGTGTAGAGGCCATCTCATGGCCACTAGGTGGCGTGCCGTCTTTTCTGTAGCAGCTGATGGACAGAAATCTAGCGTTCAGCACAATTAAAACGTATGCTGCAGCCATTTCTTCCTGTCACGAAGGCTTCGGTGACAGAACAGTTTTTAATCATCTGCTGATGAAGCGTTTTCTAAAAGGGATGCACGGAGGCACAGACCGGTGTCACGCCCACTAGCTCCACAGTGGGACTTAACGATGGTTCTGCGAGCCCTGATCAAAGCTCCTTTTGAACTTTTAGATCAGATTTCAATTAAATTCTTGTAAAACAGCCCTGCTGTTGGCTTTGACATCTGCAAAGAGAGTGAGTGATTTATCTGCACTCTCTGCTGCCTCATCATGCGTCAGGATTCAAGCTGATGGTAGCTCAGCTGCGCTGAGACCTAACCCAGCTTTTATGCCTAAAAAACATCACAAGCTCATTTAAATCGAGAATGATAACGCTGGAGGGGTTCTTCTCTCCCCCTCACAAATCAGAAGAAGCAACATCTCTTCATCTCTTCTGTCCTGTGCGTGCGCTGGCATGTTACATAACACACATGGCCACACTACGTCAGACTTAACGTCTGTTTGTACATTATAGAGACGTCTGCAGGTCGCGCGTTATCCACCCAGCGTCTGTCACACTGGCTGTGTGAGGCCATTTCTGAAGCCTACAGGGCATCAGGTTTAGAGCCTCCTGAGAACCTCAGAGCTCATTCTACCAGAGGAATTGCATCTTCGTAATTACGCACATAGAAGGCTGAGTGATGAAATGTTTTTTGGTACAAGCGGGCGCCTCATATTGTGTCTGAACGGACCCAGTGAGGCATAGACTACATCTTGCTTCGCCTTTAACCCACCAGCGACAGCCTTAAAGGGCGAAGCCTATATGAAACAGAACGTTGGTTACGTACTGTAACGCCAGATTCTATGAGTATAGGCATAGCTCTTTAAGCTCTGGGCCTCACTGGTTCCTAAATGGCTGAAGAAAAAAGCTATTTGGGAGCCGATTACCCGCTCTCAACGTAATTTATACGAACCGGGTGAGGCCCACACAACAGGTGGGCGTGGACTAAAGTTTTCAGTGCTACGCTTCGCGTGACGGGATGAAACTCACCAGCGACAGCCTTAAACGGCTATGCCTATACTCATAGAATCTGGGGTTACAATACGTAACCAACGGTTTGACTTTAGATTGTAACTTCATTGCCTGCTACTTTAATCATTTGGTTTGCTGTTTTTAACCACTGTTCTCCTGCTTTTGGTTGGTTTTTCTTCTTTTAGCATTACTTTGTGTGTGTCCACATTTTGGATCTGCTTAATTTGTCTCTAATGAATAGTTACGTACCACAGTGCTTTCAGGTTGCTGTCATTAAACCTTAAGAAGCCTGATCTTGATTAAAAAATTCTGGCCAGTTATAGACCTATATATAATCTAACAATTCATCTAAAAAAACACTTGAGAAAATAGCTGCATGTCAGTTGCATGAACATCTGAACAAAAATAATCTGTTTGAGGAGTTTCAGTCAGGGTTTAGAGCTCATCATAGCACAGAAACAACACTGGTGAAAGTCATTATTGATATTCTCATGGCTTCTGACAATGGACTTGTGTCTATACTGGTCCCGTTAGACCTCAGTGCTGCATTACAGCTGGTCACAATATTTTACTATAGATACTTGAATATGATATTGGAATTACAGAAACAGCTCTAAAAGGGTTTAATCATATTTATCTGATCGATTCCAGTTTGTAAATATAAATAATGAATCTTCTTCATTCAACAAAGTTAATCATGGAGTTCCTCAGAATTCAGTGCTTGGACCACTACTCTTTACTTTATATTTGCTTCTATGGGTAATGTTATTAAACAGCATGGGATAAATTTTCATTGTTATGCTGATGATACACAGTTATATTTGTCTATAAAACCCAATTAATCCAATCAGTTACTTAGACTACAACCATGTCTTAAAGACATAAAAAACCTGGATGACCCTAATTTTTCTGCTTTTAAACTCAGAAAAGACTGAGGTTTTAGTTTTTGGACCTGAGCACCTTAGAAATTAATTTTTCAGTCTTTTACCCTCCTTATGACATTAATCTGGCCTCCAGCTCCAATGTTAAAAATCTTGGTGTCATTTTTGATCAGGACATGTCTTTTATCCCACACATTGAAAACATTACTAGAACAGCCTTCTTCCACCTGTGTAATATTGCTAAAATTAGAAACATCTTATCTAAAAATGATGCAGAAAATCTGGTCCATGTATTTATCACCTCTAGGCTGGACTTTTGCAATTGTTTGTTATCTAGGTGTCCAAAACCTCAGGACAAATAAAGGCACTATATACTGTAAGTACAGTCCATTTACCACACTCTGCTCTTTGGATCATGTCAAGCTGATGTGCTTCTATTGATAAATATTTGACAGAACATAAGTTGAAAATGAACAGACTATTCTTTTAAATCCAGATGACTTATAAAGTTCATAACTTGTAGATTTACATTCATTACTTGCTGGAAGTTTCATCCAGTGGTTCAAGATATATTTTGCTGACAGACAAACATGTACACATTTATTATCACACACTTTTCATACAGATGGGGTGTATTATAATTTTTTGGCCTCAAAATTTTAATAAATGGCTGCAGAGTAGGGCATTAACAGAGTACTCGAGTAATCTGCACATCGATTGCTAGGACATCTATCGAGGTTAAAAATGTAAGGTCAGGTATCCGTAGTGACGTCATATTATGTGACCACCGTATGACCATAGGGGGCGGTGTTGCACTGTTGCAGGTCACAGAGTATGGCGTAACACCGGGTCAATCCACTGAACCAGAACCAGGTTCGGTTTAAGTTTCGTTTTTGACGTGCTGCATGTTTCTTCACGTTTGCAGTTTAATAATAATAACTAATAGTTTAGTTTTTCCTGTGACTTATTTGCAGTATGATAAATGGTAGGAGGATAATATACGCTCCCAATGTTTTGTTGGTCTTTTTTTTTGTAAATAATTACCTTTTTTTGCGGTTTTATTTATTTATTTATTTTTGTATCTTGAGATCTATGACGTCATCAAATATTTGAGTTCTACTCGAGTTTTATTATGTTAATGTCGAGTTTAAAAATTATATACTCGTTCAACCCCTACTGCAGAGACACTTTGACTGCAGAACATTTGATCTGACATGTCTGGAAACATGAAACCTGTAAGAACAGGATCTGTTCACGTACTGAGACTGCTGCTGGGGGAGGTCATGGGGGGCTCTGGTGTCTTCATGAGGAGATGGAGTAAGGGTTGCAGTTGACTGGTGGCTGTATGGGGTGCTTGGAGCAGAGGCGCTGTCCTCACAGCCTTCCATCAGGTATGTCCTCTCAGGGAGGGGGGGACACCACTCTTCATCTGAGCTGTATGTAAAAAGGTTCTCATTCTTAGTGCATGTGGTGTTCAGGAGTCAGGTTCATATAATCATTAAAGATCAGCTTGTTTTCTACATTAAACAGAAATAAGACCAAAGATGGCCACAGGTAGAACATGTGGAGGTGGGGGTGGGATTACTGTATGAGTGGTAAAAGTAATGTTGAGATTTGAACATGCAGAGGTTGAGTAACAAACAGACAAACAGGTAAATGAGAAAATGATTTAAAAGAATGGTGATTAACAAGTTGAACAATATCCATTCAGTATTGACCTGACTGAAAATTGTTGCGTTTCTACCTGGATTATTGAGCATGAACTTTGAAGAATATTCATTCAACTGTTATTTCTACAGGGTAATCTCATTAAGTCACGAAGACTCATTTTGACCTGTTTTAAACAAAAAACACAGATGAGGTACAGACTAGGGATGCACCGATCCACTCTTTTTTTTACTTCCGATCCGATCCCAATACCTAAATCTAAATATCAGCCGATACGATCCAGTTCCGATATCATCATCATCATCGATTTTATGAGGCTGTAATAAAGTCCTCTCAAGTACAATTTGTACAAATCTATGCATGCATGTTCAAAAAGGCAACTTGAGGTAAGTTTTATTACTGTTGGATAAGTTTTAAAGTTAGAATTAAATTCTGCTAACACAAAACATGTTTCTTTTTATTCCTAGCTTTAAAGTGGATATTAAAGTGATTAATTTAAGTGATTGTTTAAAGTTGTTTTATATTTTTTAAATAAGGGGCAGCTATAAGATTTTCTTCTTTCTGCACTCTTTTCATTCAAAGTTTTCTTTCTGATGAATTTGTTTTGTTTCTTTTAAACGAACGAATGAATGAATTAAATAAAATAAAATGTTAAATGGCTTCAAACATCTGCTAAGTTCATGGCATAAACCAACAGACATGTTCCTGTTTTTAGTTATTTACATCACTTCATAATGTAGCTGTTTTTGTTTCGTTTATATATATATATATATATATATATATATATATA